ATGAAAGTATTTTTAAAGCGGTAAAAGTTAACATACCTGTACTCCATGGGAGTGAAAAGCTAATATGGAATCCGGCATTGTATGTATGTATTCTATATGGAAATTGAATGTAAAAACAGCTAATTTTGTCTTTTCTCTTCCCTCCAAATCAGTAATAACCACCTAAAATGTCAACTTCGCGAGTCTGCAAAATTATCCCATAAGCCTACGATTTACCTTATTTTTATAGGCAAAAAGCAATGAATCCTTTCCAATTTGTGACATCCCCACTACATCAAGTTTTGCGTTGTTGAACACCAAAATGTCAAGTGTTTCTTGGGAATTTAGAACCTGAAAGTCGAAAGCTCACACCTCTAGAACTTCAATTGCTAAACTAATTCTGTGCAAAATAATGAGCATAACAGCAAAACAAACCTTTCTGTCTTCAAACTTCACCCAGCTAAAATCGTATTTGTCATTGCTTTCAGTAGCCTGTACGCCAATACAGAGCTGAGGAAAATCGGTGCGAGCGTTAATCAACTGAAGATGCTTTCAAAAGTTAAAAAAAAAACTGAGCAATATATTATTCAATGCCAACCTTGAAGGGACTTAGCGGGAAACGTGAGGATGCATCCAGTTCAGATGACCTGACAAGCAGGAACTTGTTCAGTGGTTCATACCTAGAAGAAACCACTTGTAGAAGAAAGGAAAAGTTACTGATTCAAATGAATTTCCGGTATGGTCGACATGCAATAGATGGGGTGCAGATGGGAAAGGGTATGTAGTACACAAAAAACTTATCTTTTACCCTAAATTGAAACTAAGTTAGCTTGACTAAATTAGTAGGAATGGCACTTTTTTAGACCTTTTATCACATCACATGTCATTTTATTACTTATTGGAACTGAAGATCCGACTGATATAAATCGCAAAAAAAAATCATAGAAGTAAACGTAACTTCTTCAACACAAACAAATACACTATCAAACTCTTACCACTGAAACAATAACACTGAAGAGGGAGTGCAACAGCAGAGGAAAACGGCCCCAGCCTGAGGTCCAGTTCCACGCGAAGTTGTACATTGAAGGGCACCTCTTTAAAAAAGACACTGTGTTCACTGCCACAAAAAAACCGAAGAGAACTTACTTTGTTTCTGGCAGTCGAACAGTTATCGCAAGTTTTTTGGGAATGTATCTCTCGGGTACTTTATTGATCGGTTTGCTAATACGCAATGTGAGATTCTTTTGAGAAAGCGCTACCAAATCATGTCTGAAATTAACAACACTTTTCTAAATAGATTTCGAAACAGCAATGAAAGAAAGCCGATAACCTGTACAAGTAAGAAGTTCTGCCTTGCATTGCCATAAGCACATCATGGTGTACATATAACCATGAGCATCGTCTATGATGGATCTGAAAGCGCCTTTGTGATTCTACTCCTACACCTTGTATACCTAGAATAGAAATCTAGTGAATAGACTCTATATCTTACCTTGTTCAATTCCCCATCATACAGCTTATTAGTATCGACAGCATAGATTCCCTCCTCGCATCCGAGGAGCAGAAACTGTGCACCAGTCCCCGGATGCACCCAAGAGCCAGCGCAATTGATTCGAAGACTACATTCATGAACCATCTTGGTGAAACATGCACCCATAACCACCTGAATATCTCTTTCCAGTCAAGTAAGCCCATTAAACAACTAGTCAAAACAACCTTAGGAGTAACCGGCATTCCAAAGTAGGTTTTTGGTCGATCAGCCTCATCACTAGTAATCGCTCGCATGCGTACAGCATCGTTGTGCTCTAACGATGAAGATCGGTGTACAGGACTCTGATTAGCTCGCAGAGTTCGTGGAGCTGGTCGTGGTGCTGGAAAGGGGTAAAGTTTTCAAAGTACACAGCTACTGCTGTATCACAGTTCCATCAATCCCCTGGCAATAATTATGGCCTGTAAGTTAATACTGCTTACAAGCATGTAGTACTGGCACTTTTCAACTACACCAGCATATTCATTTCATTTTTAAGAAATTAAAGTCAAACGTCAACAGTACAAAACCTGAAACAATGTAAGAAGGACTAATTAAGGTTTGCACTTACACTCAAACGAAAAAATTTTCTCAAAAAAAACTCGAAAGGCAACTATGGATTAAAAGTGATCAAGTATCTACAAATTAAATCTGTGATATTCACTTATCGTTAACACTGCGTCGTTTATATCCTACAGGTCATAGAATAGGTGGTAAGCTGATGAAATGAGCTGAGTTGTTGAAGTGTGTACACTTGGCGCACGAAGTAAATCGATAGAGTTCTTTCATTCAATCAATTTCATGCATCCGATTCTTGGAGAATATTATAAGGCAATACACTTTTAGGCGACAAGCTCCAATTTGAGCAAAAATAATTATAGGAGACATGAAAAAAGAGTATGGTAAAAATGCTAACCAACTAATGTCCCAACATCATCCTCGATAACTCCGTTCCCATCGTGAAGCAGTGCATCACCAGAAACCACATCAGGTAGGGGAGGCATGTCCTGCAATTGGCATAATGATCGATTGTTATACTACCATGCAGCGAGGAAAAGAGAAAGAAATTCAAATTGCATATTTACCCTTGCTGGAAGTGTGCGATCAGTATGGAATGTGCTGCGAGAGGATGCCGAAGAACACGAAGATGGAGTTGATGGTGTTACGTCCCGACTGCGTCCGACTCCTCCCAAACGAAGGCCGTCTAGGCGATCGGGAAGACCAATGCGCACTGGAGGAACATTTTGTGGGCGCAGCTCATCCTGAAAAAAGCTGTCACGAGATGGAAATGACACATACAATTTGTTTTGTCTATGGGTAAGAATATGACAGAAAAACATAGCGTCATAGATGCTTCTTGCGCTATGTTATGAGTTCTTCCGAAGAATTGTATATAAAGAAA